TCATTGTCTGTAAGTGGTTCATATCATTCTATTCTAGATGTAGTATGAACTATGCAACTGCCTTAAGTAATGTTAATGAATCTGTTCAAATTAAATGACATGTTAATATGTGGTGTTATGTCGTTAACGGTAAAGATTGGACTACATGGAACGCCATATAATTGCTTGTGTTGATGAGACAGTGTGATCTGACTCATAAACCCAGAATCATTAAGACCTATCACAAATTAAATTTGGTTAAAAGTTGCTGATAAGGTCATAATAAATAGACATTGTAAGATTTGTGTGATCTCACTGGCTGCCTGTAGTGATTCTGTTTCAATATCTATGCCTGAGGGAGAAAACATCACAGAACACTTGCAGTTAGTAAGTGTCATATCTTAGAGTCAGTGTAGTGTGTTCCATTTGTAAAAATGAAAGTATGTCTGCTCTGCAAGATGAGCAAGTGATGGACATCAGTAAGTACTATTTTAAAGATTATATCAGGATTGATTAAAAAAAAAAAAAAACGTGATTGTTGCAGTAGCCCAGGATACTTTTTCTCTTTTCACCTGCTAATGCAATTGTTTTACTAATATTTCAGGTACATCAACATCAAGTAGTCCTCCTCATCCTACAGTGCTCTCACTGGCAGTCTTGTCACTTACACTGCTGATTATGGCACAGATGCTGACGGATTCATAGCGGGATCCAAACATTGTCGATAACTGGATAAATAGCTTTTGCAGTGTGATTAAGTGGAGCAAGACAAGACGCACACTTGCAAAAGCAATTGACAGATACTGTGCCATTAGATAAAAACATATGCACTTGAGAACTTTTATTGCATTTACTTTTATTTCGACATTTAATGTCGAGATACCTTTTCAAATAATTTTGTCTTGCCGTTTTATTTAACTGTGAATTGAATTGTACTTAAAATGTACTTAATTTTTACCCTGTATTTTTAAAAGTATTTTGTGATACAATGTGACGACGACATGTTTTAACACAGTTAATGTAATGACAGTTACAGCATTGTTTTGTCTTACATTCTGTATGGAATTTGTTATTATGTAAATGTTAATGTAAAATAATTATTGTCTTACCTGCAACACATCCATTTACTATTGTAAAGGACATATTGTCATTTATTTTTTTATTGTTGTTTTTTGGGTTTGGTTTTTTTTTTGGGGGGGGGGGGGGGGGGGGGGGTGTTTCTTTTGTATTTGTTTTTCTAAATGACTTCATGGATTACGGCTGCACTGTACAATTTTGATCACAATAATCTATTGATCATTGAAATGAACGATCAACTGATGGTATTGTAAAGTGCACAGTTACTCAATGATTCTTATTTAGCTATCAGCTTTTAAATTTAGCTGGAGGTTGTTTTATGCATGTGCTAACTAACAATACAAACAATAAAGATAAATATTTAATTCAAAAATGTGTCTTTTAATGAAGTTTTCTGCTGATACAACACAATGTTTAACAGAAATCGGGTCCTGTCATGGACAACATAAGTTGCTAGAGCAACAATAAATCAGTCAATGAGTTTGCAGCATGAAACTATAGAAGATACAGTTGCGTGACGGGGCATGTGTTGTCGTATGTTTATGTGACAGAATGGAATCGTTGCCCTTCTCTCTCCCTCCTCAGTACCTGCAGGCCAGGTGAGGCTCAGGAATGGCCTGCGCCCTGATTGCTGGGCGGGGCTGGCAGAACTATTATCGGGGCAGATGCCTGCTGCTCAGCACTCTCGTCTCTTCCTGGATCCTGCCCTGCGTTCCAATACCCATACTACCATACTATTTAGTATGCCAGAAAAAGAATTAGTGTGTCCCAATACATAGTATGTCAGATGCAGTATGCCAAAAGTACCAGGATGTTCTACTACATCCGGTCACATTTCGCAGTATGCATGTCAGCATGCTTCTTTGGCCATTCTGACCCACAATCCTTTGCGCAGCGGAAGTTACGTCACACTGAGCTGCGTGTACAACCAACTCCCACACTTCCTTTCATACATGGTTTATTTAATTTGAGATACTAAGACACTACATATTAGGACTGCAATGATCTGATTATATACTGTCACATATCATACAGTTTTGCAAGAACACGGTTACAACATTCAACTTTACTGTGATTA